GAACCATTCAGGTTGTCAATCGAGTCGCTACTCGCTCGTGGACACAATCCGATTGGTCCGATCTTATAACCTTGCTTGCTTAAATGCCTGCACTGCGGACACAATAAAAGACTTCCTTTTCTTGCGACCTTGTTCTCCTTGGGGGATTGAAACAAAGCGTCTGGAACGACACAAACCATAGCTTTTGGCAACATTATAACACGTAGTAGCCACACGACCACATCAGTACTAAACTTAACAGCTCTCATGATAACTGCTAGGGGACCGCCATTGACGTGACGATGGCTTATCAGTCTACGTCGTGTCAGATTGGCATGCGCGACGACTTCAGTTGCAGTTGCGATGCCGTCGCCTGGTATCTGATTGGCTGCCTGTGTCCGAATCACCTGTAAATAACGAAGCCATTTGCGTCTAGATGAAGAAGATGCAATCGCTGCTGACGAGAAGTTTATTGGCCCTACATTTCTGATTATCTCCCCAATCTAGCATCTGACATTGCCGCAGAAGAGAACAGTAGAGGCACAAGGCGAACGACACTTATAAGACGCAGGTGTCGCGCCCTCAAGTGCCTACAATAATTATCAGCACTCGCATTCATCACCGGGTTTTAATTGGTGCAATTATGGCCTGTAGGCCCGTACCCGCATCGTAAATGACCGTGAGTTCATCACACTTATTGATTCTGGGCGTGAGGATTACCTAACAAATTGACTCGCGGTCACTGGGACTGCTGGTCGCTAGTGCTGTCCCCACTGTGACTAACTAGGACATTTAGGAGGTCGAAATACACAAAACTATCGCCTGTCTTTCCCTCAATAAACTGATACTGATACATAGTCAGCTACTCCACAAAGTGATAGGAGAACGTTAAAAGGGTAAACCTCCTGCCAAGTCACGTCATGGTCCCTACTGATGTCACGTCCCTTGGTAATTCTAGGCTGTTTGAGACTCAATACAATTGAATTGCTCCAACACAACAAAAATGATGAAACGGAAGATCGCCTTGGACACGCCTAACTCATGTGAATCCAGAAATTCTGCCTCTGAGATTTTTGCGTTCGACGAAAAAATCAAGAGCAGGTAAAGCGCAAGCCAATTAGTTATGCAATTCGGGAACTCTACTGTAAATTTCCTGTCCTATTAAATGCCTACCAGAATTTTAAAATGTAATTTTCGATTCGAAAAAAACTACTTAAGTATGTATGGTTGTGAAAATAGTATCACACAGCCTAATTTCAAGGTATTTCGGTTACGTTGGGGTACCGTCCTTCTAATTGCCGAGTATGGTAACTCTGCCGACCGTTATAAGTTGGCTCGGGGCTTCCAAGCCGTATACATTCAGTCTAATGAAAACCGCACTTTTCTATAGGCTATGAAGAAGGGGCCACATAGTCCTTGTAAACGGTTGCAATGGATATTAATCATATTGTATATTTTATAGGCATCATTAACCTCACGGATACAATGTATAACGAATGGACATTTCACAAATATAAAAAAACCCTCAGAATAAGAAACTTAAAAAAACCGAAATATACCCTATCCTTAATTTAAAAATTGGAAGGAAATGTTATTAGCTACAAAATAAGTACAAGAAAGCATATTTTTAAACATTTTCCACTAAAATCATTGGACCTTTAAGGTCATTGAAAACTTATGATAAAAATGCATACTACTTAAGTTACCATTTTCTACCGAGTATGATTTTTGCAGATTGCCGGATGGAAGCCCATTCCAAAGCCGGCATCCTGCTGTGACTGAAATACCTAAAAGATATTAATATCAACACCCTACTTAAGTACTTTATTCGAATCTAAAACAATTTCCAGAATGCCTGTTCACATTTCAGGAGGTCGGAATCTCCTGTGGATTTGGTTTTGTTCAGCTGCCCCTTAACGTAAGTCATGCTCATTTAAGAAAATATCATTTTTCGATACAACAGTCTCTGGGATAATGGATCAATATGGCTAGAATGCAGCCGATTCTTTCTGAGAAACCTAATAAAGTTTTAAAAGTGGATAGCCCAGCAGAAATGGTAGTGTCGGGTCTCACTTGTTCCCGGGGGCATAAACGGAATGCATCACAGGTTTAACTTACTGACATGAAAACGCTCATTACTGAAAGAGATTTGAAAGTAAACTAGCCCGCTGTTATTGTTTTCCAAAGAGACAGTGAGAAAAAAGCGACTTACACAGTATAATTTCTCCTTCGCATTTCTAGAAACTGCGCGGTTGACTGAAAATTAAAGAGTAATATACAAAAAAGTTATTGGTAGGAACAAAAAGCTCTCATATTATGCAAATAAGCTTTCAATAGGTTTAACATTCCCGTTCGTAAAATAGCTAAGGTAAATCTTTAACCATTTTTCCGCACCAATTTTGTCTTATGGGGCAGTTAACTGTTAGGGTGGGATTAAATTGAGCACCACTTAAATTCTATTGATACTTACTTTGCATGCTAAATGCTTTCGGTGATGTTAAGGAAGAATTTCTGTGGATATTTTGGTTACAATACACGATTTTGAAGGCAGAATGACATACAGCCTCGTTGAGTATAAAGTCGAACCTTCCTCAAATTTACTCTGTAGCGTGGGAATTTAAAGAGAATTTGAAGATAAGAAGCCGAAGAAAACGACTTTAAAAATACTAATAACTAGTAATGAGCAGGAGAAGAGTGACAAGAACTAGAATTAGAATGAGAGGGTGGCGAAGAATAAAAGGAAGAAGGACAAGTCGAAAAACGTGTACTTACGTGGAAGCTTAACATACTGTGGGTGTAGTATAGCGAACTCGAGAGCCGCCAACTTGCTCATAACTTCTTCGCGTTGGACGACCAACGCAGAGGCATGCTCCCACAGCTCAACGACACGAGTTGTTAAGACCCCTATCTCCAAAGGCACGAGTCTGGAGTCGGCACGCAGACAATATTGAATGCACTGGGAAGTGCGTTCGGCCTCCGATAGGCGTAGACGATCCCAAACACGTTCCATTCGTGTCTGAAGACTCTTGTAGTTTTGCTTTGGCCAGTCGAACTGTATTTTTAAGATCCAAAAAAGAAGATATAGTCAGAACCGCAAAGACGCGCCTGTACGTCCTAATAAGAAGAGTTAAAGTAGTTTAAGAAAGAAATCTAATAATTGAGGTGTTTAGCCTAGCCGTCGTCTCCATAAGTATATTTACTTTTTGGATGACGAGGCAAGGGCTCCTGCAATGACGGTAAACGGTGTGCTATAGGTGCAGTAAACTAAACTAGCACATAGCTGTTTTGGGAAGCAACATTTAGATCAGTATATTCACGCTATACGCTTGTTTAAATACACCAATAAAGTATAAAGACGCGAGTGCGCAACTTGAACTATTGGAAATTAGGAACTTTAAACAAACGGAAAAAATGAAAACCGATGGCATTGGTTAGATATTCCGGGCAAACTGATGCCAGCCGGTGCTAATTAATCACACTGACGAAAAATTGTGAAGAGTAGTACTAAATGCAACTCCCGCAGTGACCACGACTGAAGATATAACTGAAGTTAGAAACGTTAATAGCCTAATCCCTAATCGTAAACCTAGGCCTGACGCCTAAATCTGATCCCAAATCTATAACTCTAACCTCAATCTCCAATATTAGGTCTAATGGTAACCTCTAATTCTAATGATAACACCTAAACCCGTAATCCTAAGCCACACCTTAAACCAAACGCTAACCGTAAAGATAACACTTAAAGGAGGCATGATGGGGATTGCCTAAAAGAGAAGGGAGTTGACCTAAGTCTATCCAAATTTCATGAGTCGTTCATAAAATAGTGATTAATGGGGCCATATATTCGACCGTCACCCTTTTCCCCTAGCTTTAGGTATATGCAACAGTCAAAAATTGATTGAATTAACCTATTACTTGAAAATTGATGCCTTGAATCAACGTTGATTTAATTGGAATGATTCACAAATTCAGCAAAATTATGTAAATGCTACGAATTGAGGCAAATGTTCGCATTCCAGGTGTGTGTAGAAGTAATGAAGACGAAGAATACTTATCTTTCGCCGGAATTATGGCTTTGTTCGTCTGCGCTTTCAAACTCTTACTGGAGTCCATTGTCAGAGATAAAAGCGGCAATAAAACAAGGAACAGTTATTGGGAGCAGAGATTAAGCAAACACCGGTGATGTCAGTCAGGAGGTGACTGCACCAGTCCCTAAATCGGCTGAGCGAGTTCTCATCGGAGACCCAGGCTTCAGTCAATTCCCGGCATGTCTTTCTTCGGACGAGGACGATTATCTTTGTGGCTGTGAAGTTAAACTTGTGAAGCGTTACGTAGATATGGACAACTACTTGTGATAATCCGTCGCCTCGTCTTGCTGCCAGCTTATGCTCGTGTATGCGCGATCCAAGCAGGTGTCCAGTCTGTCCTGTGTAGTTTTGAGGACAGATTAGGCATGGTATGCGATATACTACACCAGACTGCTCACTACTATTTAATCGGTCCTTGCTTCTAATGGCTCTGCTGCGCATGGTATATTTGGGCCGGTGCACAATTCCAACGCCTAGTCCCGCAGTAATGTGCTCGGTCGCCGCGTACACGTTCTTGGTGTATGGCAGCGCATGCCATATTGTATAGGCTGACTCTGGTTGGGTCCTGGGGAGACGAATACGTAGGTATCGGCCTATGAACGCCCTCAGATAGCCGTTTCACATAAATTGGTCGCGGAGATATCAGGCTTCACGTGCTTTTTCTTCCGTGTTGCTGCAGTGAATATGGATTCTTTGGGGCAGTGTTTTCACACTTCATTTTTGAAAACTGAGAAAGCGGTTAAAACTGAGAAACTGTGTGGTGTTCGTCGCCTTCCTTTAAAGAGCTGCTTCTATTTCGTTGTTGGAAGTTCGCCTGAAGAGCATATCAAGCAAGGGCAGCTGTTACTCCTTTTCTTTTTCCCTTGTGAATTGTTTACCCGGGAAGATCGTGTTACGGTGATCATGACAATTCCGCAGCATTTTCGTCATGACGATAAAAAAAAGTGGCGTCAGCGTAATGGCTGTTGGGCGAAGGCAATATTTTTCATCTGCTGCAAGATCAGTGCCGTTACTTAAGCGGAGATTAAGAAGCTCATTGAAGTTCCCTTAAACTGCTTATAAGTATCCCCTGCAAAGGTGAAATAGGTCCTTTGGCAAAACTGGAAAAGCCTCACGAGGTGTTAAATTTTGAGCGAATTCTGGCTTTCGTCGTATGACTCCTCAAGTTTCCTGCGCAAGACCTACTGTGCCAGACTCGACGGGATTGATGTGAATAATGTCACGTGAAAGGAAAAAATAATTTCGTCTAGTTGCATCCTCCGACCTTGGAGGTCTACTAGGAATTAGAAGGCCTAACGAACTGAAGCAATCGAACTGTCTTCGCAGAATTTTAATACTCGGTGACGAACGTTCGCCGACCGCTAACGGAACTCACTTGTCTCTCCCCGCCTTTGGTTTGAGCCTCATTTCTCGGACCCTGACAGCAACTGTAGAAACTAGTAGTGTAGGCAGATAACATTCGGTGACAGTTCATCAACGAGTGACAATATTTCCGACCTAATCCGGCAAGACGAGCCCAGAGCTCAATGATTAGATCCTTGGTCTTCTGATCAAAAGGTCGCGGGTTCAAGTCTCGGGTGGGGCACGACTTGGGGTTGGCTATGACCGGCCATACAAAAAGAGATGCGATGTGCAAGGGAGTTCCACAGATCGAAGACCAAATGAAAGCATCTAAACAAGCGGACCGGAAATTGCAAGTTTACATGACGCAGTTTCTCTCAGCATTAAAGCAACCCACCTACATATCCCTCAAATATACTGATACTAATTACATAGGCCCTCCAGGAAGCGAGCTTTACTCCTGGGTGAGTGAATACGAATTTTACGTGTGTGGACGTGTTTGCCAGTCTCATTTCGCTGAGTCCAGTTTCGAGAGCACTACGTTGGTGCCACGGATCGGAACCACATATCTCGATCGCACCGCCGAATGGTGGAACCGCGCTTTTGGTCAAGGACGCACGTGGCTGATAACCGTTAGGCATTGCAATTGCCCGAACTACTTTTTGTGACTTATTTGCCGCCACTGGTCGGCTCCACTCCAACCACAGGCCGGAAGGACCTGGAATTTCTGCCAATTTCATTTATCACTGGTTCTTAAAACATTCCATCTTTGATTCACATATTCGGTAGGGGACTCTGCTTGACTCGCACCGCAGACCATCACACCACGAATGGATAGTGCATTTTTCAATTTTAAGATGTACAGGGTGTCCCAGAAGTAACTGACCCTTTTGATTTGCTAATAAAAC